TCGTTGCAAACAAGGTGACTTATTTCATACTAAAGTTTGTCCTTGACCATGTCAAAAGGCCTGACCAGAAAAATGCTCTTCTGCCAGCTTATAGCCGCAGAAATGGCGGCAAAGTGAATATAGAAGATAAACTATATACCTAGATCAATAATGTTAATAAAATAGAACCAATAAACAAGAAAAATGTAAACTACAGCATAAATTTAACTTTAACAAACCACAGATAATAGGCACAGAACCAAAAAACACCAATAGGAAATTACTTGAAGCAATACACATCACAAAAAACAACAGAACAACAGTCAACTACAAAACAGACACTAAACATTTAGAAACTCATTATACGGACATATTGAACAAAATTAAAATTTAATAGAAGTGAAATCACAGATACATAAAATAAACATTAACAACAATAATAAAAATAGTCAGATAAAACAGTCAGATCCAAAGGTCAATTTTTTCACTATGGCAGTACCCAATTTTTGGATGTTGCTCTAGATGATACATTTTAGAACATGAATTAGAAATTTGACGATGGAGCACATTATTATTAATTTTAAAGTAATTACAAACTTACTGTAACAACAAAATTCAAACATGTAATGTAACAAGCACAATATTATAACTCAAAAAATGTTTAGCCTTGCATCCACAAGAGTATTGGAATTGCAGTTCCGAAGATGGGAATAAATATCCCGAAACGTCAACTAACTTGTTAACATTTAACTCGATAATAGAAATATACTCAATTGTTACCAATTGGAAGTTATTATTAACAAATAACTAAAAATAATGTTACAAAAGCTGAACATTATTCACATCCTTGGGTATTATTTACTATCATTTATTAGATAATCCTAACCTCTTTCAGATTATTTTATTTACATGTCAGGATAATAATCCCAATTAGTTTGTATTTTTCTTTCGCTCAGTTAACATGGAGTGGGGTGATAAAGAAAACCGAATAGCTGTGATCGCCTTACACAAAGTTTGAAAATGTAGGTCAGAGATTTTCAACACTTTGAAACCTTTGGGTATCAGCCGTATGTTCGTGTACCGCACTATAAATAGATATAATGAGACCTTATCTGTATGTGACAGACCTCGACCGGGCAGTCTCCGCACTGTGAGAACGGCAAATGCAGTGAGAGCAATGACTGCTCGAATCAGAAGAAATCCCATTCGAAAACAACAAATCATGTCTCGGGAAATGGGAATCTCTATCAGAACGACGTCTCGCATAATAAAAACATGACAGGACAAAGGCTAACCATTTTCCTAAAAAAAAATAGAATGGATAGATGCAAATTGCTCCTTTGCCGTTACACCAATGGTCTTCATCGAAAGATTTTGTTTAGCGATGAGAAATTCAATTGAAGAAAAATTTAATCGCCAAAATGATCGTGTGTACGGACATTGCTCTAAAGAAGACCAGGAAGTCATTGGAAGAGTGGAAAGAGGTCATCACCCTTCCTCAGTGATGGTTTTGTGGAGAGTTTGCTTTGATGGCACCACAAAGCTCCATTTTTGTGAAAACAGGCGCTTTGTCCTGAAAAATCAGGACGATATTTTTTAACCTGTTGTCAAGCCTCTAAATGATACTCTGTTTGCTGAAAGTCATTGGGTTTTCCAGCAGGATTCCGCTCCAGCTCACAAGGCCAGGTCAACTCAGCAGTGGCTGCAAAAGAACATTCCCGAGTTCCTTCTCTGCCCCGACATGCAATTCATCTTTGCATCAGAAATATTAATTTTTCTGTTGAAATCTGTATATATTTCCTTGTAACAATATTTATGACATGACTAGGGATGTAGAAGACTCACTGTCTTAAGACATAAAATAATTATCAGTTATTTCAGTTGTCATCAGTTATTTCCATACTAGTGGATTTCGAGTCGAAAATTTGAATTTATGATTCCAAAAGTTTATTTTTTTCGGTTTTTCGCTTATATCAGTGAAACTTTGCGTTATAGCGATGATAGCGCTTGGTATAAAATTAAACCTGACAAAATTTGCTACAAAAATGGTTATGTACATTAGTAAATTACCAACAAAACAAAAAAAAAAAAAATCAACGGAATCGAACCACTTTCTACACATGCTTTACTTAGCTGTCCGCCGTTAGATAATTTTAACAATGACAAACTCTACTTTCATTTAAAGTATTTTTGCCTAGTTTACTTTGGAGCAATGTTTAATTCCTCAAACCAAATACGTTTTTAGTTATCGCTTCATATTTAACAAAAAGCGAGACTCGCTTAAAAAAACACAAATCTTAAATTTCCTACTTTCTGCTAGAAATTGGACAATTCTTTATATAAACTTTTTTTATAGATCTTGATGTTTACTATCAATATTTCAAATATGTTATTTACCATACAAGTTTACAATATAATGAATGTTGCGTAATCGGGTTTCTACCAGTCTGTCATTCTTCAGGGTAAAGATAACAGGATCTAATGAATGAAGATCCTTTCGCTTAATGAACTCGTGATCAACACCATTGATCGATCCACTCGTTCCTTGACACAATCTAACTTTTGTCCGATCCTCTCTTTGACGGGAGTGGATCGACAAAGAATATCTTAATTGAGAATCTGCCTCGAAGGAGAGGTCGTTAGGTGAATAGAGGGTTCCTGAAGATGTTCTCGCAAATTAATTAGTGCAATTGAAGAATGGTATGTTACTGGGGGGAGGGAGGGTGGAGGTCCTTCCTCTTTGGTCTGAGCTGGAAGTGGTACTTCCGCATCCTTCTTTTCTGAAGAGGTGGAGGAACTCTCTAGAAAGGCGAATGGGACAAATAAAGGCAGTAAGAGGCATCAAGAACGTACAATCTCTAGATGGATTCATCAAGAACATATTTGAAATGCACAAATAGACATGGCGTCCCTTAAGTAGGGGGACATATTGATAAGAGTGACAACAGATGTTTATATTCAATTATTAATTATTTCCAAAAACCACATTAATGAAAATTAAACAATATCTTCAGTGACAATTTATACACAATAAAAAGTAAAAACATAATTGGAACGAAAAGAAGAACAGAAATCAGGAAAAATAAAAAACAGAATGTTTCTACAAAATTAACATTTAAATATTTCCTAGAATTACCGAAATTTATTAGTTTTCACTCTGAATGCTTTTAATTCTAATTATCATAATTATGAACTTCTATAATGATTTGTATTTTTTTTTTTGTAATTATAACCTTTAAAGGGAATAAGTAAAAGTTTTTAACAATTTTGAAAAAAAATATGTTTACCCTTAAGCTGTTATTGTTAAAAGTTTTGTTCAAACAGTTAAGGTTGAACTCGTTTGTAAAAAAAAAACTAAGGTGTGTGCTTTAGACCAAACGATAGAACTAAAAATATCAACGAGGTGAGGTTAATAATGTGAAATATAAATATAAATAAATAATAGATCATTATAAAGAGGATTAAATGCTGAATAATTCCCACGCTTACAGGATGTAGGTCCTTTTTTCAGTTTCTGAGATATTTTAATCTTCCATGAAATTCGTTCATTTGGATTTCGATACTATCTTTTCCCTTTCGTATCCCTAACAAGATGCAACTTTGAATCATAGCTCATTACAAATAGGATGAAATGCTGAACATTTTCCGACCTAACAATATGCAGGTTCGATTTTTAGTTTCTTAGATATTTGCAAAAACACTTCAATCAGTCGACTCCAGCTGAATTTAACCTAGCGTTACACACCGACGATCTGACGGCTAAATCTAAAGTGGACCCTACACGGTAATTCATGAATGAACGTCAGAAGAAGTTCCAAGATTGCCCGCTATCGCTTTGATCATGAAGATCCTTACACGTTCAATCATTACTGATCATTACTTATCGTTGCTGACCAATTTAGCGCAGTTGTAAACAAAGAAACAGCATAGATATGCTTATTTGGACATTGTCATTTATAATATTGGGCATCAAGAGAAAAATGAAGATATAATAATTACTTGCTAGTGCCTGAAAATCGTTTAGACCAAAGTTAGAAAAATATAAGTCAACTTCATACAAAAATCTATGAAAAGTATTGTGAAAATAATCAATTTGTTAAGAAAAATGGAAAAATTAATGGCAAATAAACACAACAATTAAAGATTTTTTTTCTATAAGTAAATTGTGAAGTTTCCACTTTTTTTTCTCTCCAATTTATTGCCTACTTGACTATTTAAAGAAAAAATAGTTGAAAATGGTTAATAATAATATAGACTAGGGATATATATAACTATTTACTTTTATGAAATTATTTACTTAATAACGAGACCTAGGTAAACTAACCTATCTAGTAGTAAGGTTAGTCTCATAGAAAATCGTTTTGACAAAAGTTAGTAAAATATAAGTCTACTACCTACAAAAATTAAGGAAAGGTATTGTGAAAATAATAAATTTGTTGAGGAAAATGGGAAAAGAACTGATAAATATACACAAGTCAAAGTTTTTTTTTTCCTAAAGTAAATTGTGAAGTTTCCTCATTTTTTTTTTAATTTGTTGCCACCTTGACTATTTAAAAGAAATATATGAAGATGGTTTAAAAATATAAACAAGGGATATGAAAAATTATTTAACTATTTACTTATGTTAAAAATCAGAAATTTATAATTGTTGTGAGGCCTAGGTAACCTAACCCATCCAGCAGTATGGTTAGTCTCCCCACTACTTTTACCTCTGTCCCCCCTCCACTTCTCGTGAATGAACCTTTGATTTCCGGATGTTCGGAAATCCGCAGCGCACCACCATCAGTACTTCATTCACTACCTTACACGACAATTCGGAACGTCATTAGTGCAATTCCGATTAACCGTGTAGGGTCCCCTTAAATCACTCTCAATAACTGTTTTAACCCCAGGTACATATGATAAAACATGATTCGCTAGTATAGGAGATATCTCGCTGGGTTATACTCTAATCTAACATATTAGAAATAATAAAATGAACGTGAGATCTGACCCGGACACTTTATTGACAAACTTTAGAAGGACAAGCAGATGAAAACGATTCAAGAAAGAATTTTTTTGATTAAGCTCATGGCAATACCGACTCCGCTGACACCAATCAGTGTCAACACCAGCTTCTGGGTGCGACGTTTTTCACAATAGGAGAAGTGGTTGAGGAGAAAGTTGACATAGCACTCGCACAGCACGATGTTGTTGTCGAAGAGCTCCAACCTCTGCGGCAGGCTGAAGTAGACGCAGGTGTTGGCGAACGACTCCCGTTCGTCGTCCGACTTGAAGTGCTCCAGGAGCTTGCAAGGCAAGAGCAGCGAATCAGTCGTCATCTTCAGGTTGTACTTCGTCGCGCAAGTAATCCCAGCTATCGCTACGACTTGCCTTTGCTTCATGTTCAGGTCTTTGCCTGCCTTCATCCTCTCTGCGACCTTCTCCATCCTGCACAAGTTAGTCTCGATCATACCCTCGAACGCGGCTATCTTCGTCGATAAAGAAATGGCACACGACACTAGAAACCTATTAAGCCCAATCATGTCCGAACTCTTGTCAGCCACGCCGAAGTACAGAGTGTTGTCGTGGAGGTAGCTGGCCTTGCTCTTTGCGTAGTTGAAGGCCAGCAGTTCGGATGTCGACCTTGATAAATTGTAGCCGTAGCGGTTCTTCTCAAAGGGCTCCAAGAACTCGAGCATCTCCTCCCTTTGCCCGTGGGACAGGTTCCACATCACCACAGTTCCGACGTCGAAGCAGAAGACATGGCTGTCCTCTCTCCCGTCCGGAGACGCACTCTTGAGATGCAGCGCGTTGCAGAGTTCAGTCTTCATGGGAACGTCATTAGTTAGTTCGCAAGCTGTGAATCCATTTTGTGACTGTATGGCATCGAGGACACTCTGAAGATCGTAGCGGTCCGCCGTAGCATAGGCCGCCAGCGTTAGGCAGTTCTTGTCCATTTGGACTTTCATCTGCTTCACCTCCTTCCATTTCTTTATATACTTACGGTGCTTTTTCAAAAGTATATCCAGCTGGCATTGGTTCAGTGCCGAATTCGTGAACTGCTTTCTGAAACCGAGGCACTTGTCTAATTTAAACATATATGCCTCACCAAGTTGCATTTTAGCCCCACATAATGCAAATTGATTTTAGAATATTTTTAAGTATTTTTTTTATTTCATGATTTTGTCACTAACCTGAATTTCTTGAAATTTCGTTACTTAACCGAATTATATAATTTATATGATAGAAGTTAATTAAATAACAGCTGCTACTTATCGATATTTTATTAATCGATAATAGAAATAAACCTTGGAGAAAGAAATTAAAACATTAAACAGCCTATGATAAACGTCCCTTCATTAATGGTTGCTTAATAATCCTCCATTATAACTACTCAAACTCAGTAAATTACGTCTTTTATAATGGTAAAATAAAAATTTATTCAGTTGGAATGTTGGGAAAGATAAATATTTAAATGCGTGAGTGATTTGGTCGAAAAGAAAAAATACCTAAGATTACCCAAAGCGAGATTAATAATATTAAATATAAATTATAAATAATAGCTCATTATAAAGAGGATGAAATGCTGAATGGTATGCATCCATATCTTAAATAAAATTCGTTATCATATGATTTTCGACACTATTTTTCCCTTTTCGACTCCCTAACACAGCGTCACGTTAAGAAACAATTTTGAATAATAACACATTACAGAGAGTATAAAATGCTGATCAATTCCCTCGCTTACAATATTCAGGCCCGATTTTTAGTTTCTGAGGTATTTTAATTAATATGAAAAAAACTTCAACTGGACGAGTTAATCTGACAAAACGCGCCTATAGAAGTTTTTACTTAAAAAACCGACTACAACAATTGAGGGCCCAAAAATCTATCGGATCGCAGGCGAAGGTTTTAATGTAAATTATGAAAGTTTATGTTATTCTAAGTAAAATTTTAAATTAAAACTGAAAAGATTAATGAACAGTTGCGTGAGATTTGTAATTGGTGCCCCGAGATACTACCATGTCTCTCACCACTACACTGAGTTAGAGTGGCTCTTCCCCTCCATTCGAAGACAATATTTCCTAGGTACATTCCTCTATCATATCATCAACAATCATCGTCCTTCCGCCTACAACCTTCTCCAATTCAAGTCCTCAGTCCACTCCCTCTCCACAAGATCTCGACCTTCCAACCTTTACATTCCTTCTCACAGATCTGCCTCATTCCAAAACTCCTTTATTGCTCATTCTGTTAATTTCTGGAATTCCCTTCCTATCAAAATTCGACATTCTTCATCCTTATCTATATTCAAAACCCTCCTATTCCAATTCAGGTCCCAAAAACAGTCAGACACCAGCTAACCTTTTATATAAAATTACATATTATCTATAAGAACATATTCACATATAGCTCATAACCTAAATACTTATTATAGATTCAACTTTCTTTTATTCTTTTTTTTCTTTCAACAGAAACAGATTTTACTATTAAGAAGAATTTACATTTATTTTTTCTGTATTTTTTATTTTTTCTAAAAGGGTTTATTTATATTTTAACATTGTACATAGTTTTAAGTATCTTAGTATGGTTTCAAGAGTTTTTTATATAGATTTTTTTTTTTATTTTGTATATAGTATGTATAACCAATATTTTTTTTTTTTTTTTAATGATCTATCTTTATCTTAACTTTTTATGTTTGTTTTTATCTGGCCAGATATAAAATTTTAATTTCTGTACTTTTTTGTTATTCTGAAGGGACTTCGTCCCAGAATAAAATTATTTTTCTATTCTATTCTATTCTATTCTAAAATGAACCTTGTCTGTCATTCCATAACCGCTTCTTTAAAAAATGGCGGCTGATTTAAAGAACGTTGGGACAGTAAATTGAGGACCGAAACAGGAAATCCATTGCGAAAAATGTGAGTAAAGTTTTTATTTTTTTAACTTGTATATATATGGATTTAGAAATATAAAAAAAACATAATTGTGAATGCCGGCCACCAAACGGAAACTTTTTACAGCCAAAAAGTAGGCTTTTTTTGATATTCTTTACCTAAAATAACTAAACAATGCATCAAAGCAAAATATGTACTCATTAAAAAATTACTGAACGTTAAATTGTGCATCGAACGAGTACATAAATTTAATTATTTGGTTACTTGGTAAAGTATAAAACCACGGTCAACCAATGGTGATTTTTACCAAATTTTCAAAAACGGAGACAAATTGTTGTAAATGGCCCTGCAGCACGGAAATGAGTTCTCTAAGAGGAAAAACCCATAGAATCAAAGTTGTAGAGCATCAAATTTTACGTTCATTGAGTACAAATTATTTTAATGTAAGTCACTTACTCTGAACAAATCGGTAATATTCCGTTGGTTAGGAATAAGTAATGAAGGTATACGTGATTTTCAATATTTTAACAGTATGGGTGTCTATTTTACTGAGTTATTTTCCACCCCTCTGCAGCGACGTATTTTGATAAATGATGTGTCGAATGACACGGAAATTCATAAAGAAATAAATAATCCCGATTCGAGATATATAATTAGCCTACATTCTAAATTTCAGTACTCGGTGGACACAAAATTTTATGTTCTGCAACTTTGATTCTATCGATTTTTCCTCTCATGGAACACATTTCCATGTTATAGAGCCATTAATAGTAATTTTTCTCAGTTTTTGACAAATTCGGTAAAAATCAGCGTTAGTTGAATAGATGTTTTATACATTACCACGTAATCAAATTATAAGGTTTATGTACTCGTTCGACGCAAAATTTAACGTTCTGTAATTTCTTAAAGAGTACAGTTTTCGTTGTATCGTTACGATGTATCGTTTAGGATTTATACCTGAAAAAGTAAACAAATAAAATATCGAAAAAAAATCTTACTTTTTAGGCTGTAAAATGTTTTCCCTTGGTGACCAGCGTTAGAATTTTTGTTTTTTACTTCTCTAAACCCATATATAGAAATTAAAAAAGTTTTAAACTTTTCTCACATTTTTCATAATGGATTTCTCGTCTCAATCCTCAAGTTACTGGCCTAAAATTCTTTAAGTGAGGTGCCATTTTTTAAAGAAGCGTCTCTGGAATGGCAGACAAGGTTCTTTTTGCTCAGAATAACACACACCTTCGTAATTTACACTCAAACCTTTGCCTGCGATCAGGTCGGGTTTCGGGTCCTGGATCCAGGGCTATATGGGAATAGTAGTCGAGAGTCAAACATCCCGGAACGAAGCTCAAGACTTAGATGTTTTCAAGCACAATGGGACAAAGTCTATTTGCCTGAAGCCGTAATGTATAATGAAAGTCATTCGACTACTAAACCGAGTTAATATATTCGTAGATATCAATTTCCTTAACAATCTACCAAGATCTATACTTATCAATCTAAGTACGTCTTTATAAGAAATCCACGAATCTAAGAAATACAATTTTTTTTTGTCAATATTGTATATGGTCATTTAAATGTTTACGGAATTTCCTTTTAAAAAAATTGTTAAAATCGGACAATTAGGAGCAAAGATATGGTTTCTAGATTTTTTACTTTCCTACCTGTACTAGGTAAGGAAAGTATTGCAATCGGGTCAAATTTCCGATATGCGGTTTTCGACGGATCTATACGTTTCAGAGCCCCTGAGTCCGAAAAACACATTTTTAGCCATTGGTCTGTCTGTCTGTGCCAAGATTTTCTCGGGAACTACTGAACCGATTTTGTTGCTTCTTTTTTTATTTTGTAGGGTTTTGACTACTGATGCCTGTGACAGAAATTCGGTGCTCCATGCGCAATAGCTTGCGCGCAATAAATGAAAAACATGTTTTTCTATAGACTGTAGCGCGAAAACGGCTCTAACGATTTTGATGAAACTTTCCTATAATGTTCTAATAATTGTCCTTTCAATTTTCGTATATGGACTAAATTCCCGAGAAAATTCAGGAAAAAAAGTTATAAAGAAAAGAAAAATGTTTTGGGGCCTAACTCGCTAAGTATATATTATACGGTAAAATTTATAATAAAACTTTTGAAAGGTAATTAAATTACCAACAAAACAAAAAAAATCATCGGAATCGAACCAGTATTAGCGATGATACAGCTTATTCTATTTTTTACACATGTTTTAACTTATTACTTTCCTACCTATACTAGGTAAGGAAAGTATTGCAATCGGGTCAAATTTCCGATATGCGGTTTTCGACGGATCTATACGTTTCAGAGCCCGAGTCCGAAAAACCTTTTAGCATTTTTGAAGGTAATGAAATTCCTACAAACTATATAAAAATCGTTCATTTTGGACAACTATTAACGAAGTTACAGCTATTCAATTTCCAATGTAAGATTACGGGTTCATATCCTGGTGTCAGAAAGGGTGAATGAGAGAAAAAAGATGACTAAGTGAAAGTAAGAAAATCTGTTGCCCGCATCACACAAGCTTCACTATTTCCTCTACTTTTAACAGAAATTATTGTTTGACAATACTAAGCTATGGCAAAAAGTTTTTGATCAGCAATATTAGAGAGTATTGAAATTTTTACACTGATCTACCTTCAGCCAGTTTACATTTGTTTAATTTATCAAATAAATCGTACTCAAATCTTTTCTTTGATCAATTTTCAAGAAAATAAATTAATTTTTTTTTGTTTCTTCATGAACATATGTAAAGATATAAAAACTTTTCTGAAATAGGTAGGAAAGTCGTGTGAGTGGACACATGTTATACCGCAAAGGTTGTATCCTTTATTTTGCCTTTTTGATTTTTGAATATGTTAGAATAGAATAGAATAGAAAATAGAACTTTATTCTGGGACTAAGTCCCTTTAGAATAACAATGATGAGTTAATACAAAGTAAAGTACAAATCTGGCCAAAAAATAACTTATAAAATTTTTAATATTATATACATTATTTAAAAAGTATGTAACCAGTAAAAAATAAAAAATAAAATATATATACAAATGAACATAAAATCTTCTCAAAATTACTTAATTGCGATGAAAAAAAAAGAAGAGAAATTACATATTTATATATATACATAACTACATAATTTATAAACAATTGGCTATCTAATAGAAAACTAACTTAATACAAAATGTAATAATATCTACAGTGGTTTATATAATAATATGCAGACACTAAGATAAAATAAAATCTTAGGATACTTGTGGTGTAATGGAAAAAAAAAAAGTAAAATAAATAAAAGGAACTATTTATACGTACATTCTCA